CTTTCTTCTTTTTTTTTGGTCTCTAACGGCTTCGTCTCTTCTTCTCTCCTCTTCCACCTTCTCTCTCACTTTCCTCCCTCTCGTTCTCATCTCACATCTCATCTTCTCCCACTTCTCTCTCTCTACTCCTTCGCCTATCTTCTCGCTCTCTCTCTCCTCTCTCCCTTCTTCTCTTTTCATTCTATTATCTCATGTCTCTCCTCTCTCTGCTCTCTTTCTCTCTCTCTCAACCTTTTAATTTTCATTACTCGGCTTTTCTCACTCTATCTTATCTTCCTCTCCCTGTTTCTCGCAGATTTTTTTCTCTTTGTCCTCATTCTTTGATTCTGCTTATCTGTTCTTTCGCACTTACCCACCCCATCTCTTCCTCCTTCTTTTAATCCTCTGCTTTCTCCTCCATTCGTCTCTGTTCTCCAACTCTTCTTATTCCCTCGTCTTCTCTCTTTCCCGCCCTTTATGTCTCTCATCCTTAACCTGACTGAAGGGGATGATAATCCCAGGCTCGAATGGACTATTATCCTACGAATGTGAAATCTAGAACTTCGAAGAGCTACGAAGAGAGACCTCACTCTTCCTCCCTTTCTCTCCTCCTTGTTGTGACATTTTTTTTTTTATTTTTTTTAGATGAATTTTTTTAATTTTTTTTGTTTCTTCACCCTTGCCCGCGAATCGGAACTATTTCTGCCGAGAGAACCCACCCATCGACCTGAGAAGCGATAGCTCCAGGAGGCGAGATTGTAGAAGCACTTTCCTTCGTATACTTGTGCTTGAGGATTTCCAGCATCTCCTCCAGAGATCTACCTATTCTTTGCAAACCCTCCCCCCCCCTGTTTCATTCCATTTCTTTGTTTTTCATATTTTATATCTTTCTCTATTCCCCACTCTCATTTTCCTTCCTTACATCTTTTCTCTATCCTCTTTCTTCTTATCACTTCTCTTTTTTCTCTCTCTTCCTTCGTTCATCTCTCTATTCCTTTTCTGGCATTCTCTTCTTTTTTCTTTTCTTCTTCCCCCCATCACTTTTTTTTCTGCCTCCCATTCATTTTCTTTCCCCTTCATTTTTTCCATTCTTCTTTCTCTTCCATACTCCTTTTTTCTCCCATTCCTTTTTCCCTCTTCATTCTTCTCTCCTACTTTCTCCTCTTCTTCTTTATTCCTTTTTCCTCATTCTTCTCCGTGTCTCCTCTGCTCTTCGTTCCTCCCTTCACTCTTTCCTCTCTCTCCATTCCCTCCCACTCAGTTATTCTCTCTTTATCCTTTCTTTCCTTTTCCATTCTTTCCTTTTCTTTCCTAGTTCTCAGATCTTCCTTATTTCCTCCTTACTATAATGCCCATCCCCTATTTCATCCTCCCTTTCGCTTCCAATTCCATCCTCATTCCCATCACCCACCAACACGGCGGTTAACACAAGCTTCTTCCTCCCGCAGACTGGACCGCCCTTCATTGGGCTGCCTTGGAGGGACACCTTCCTGTGGTGGAATTCCTGGTGGCGGAGGACTGCGACCTCAACGCCAGAACCAAGATTGGTAAGGCGACATCTTTTTAGTCATTATTATTATTATTTGTCATTTTATAGGGAGTAATAATTGAAATGATAATAGTAATGATAGTAATAATAATAATAAAAATGATAATGGAATGTTAAAGATAATAATAAAAGAAATAGAAAATGGAAACAACAAGAAGAATAAAAGTTAGAAAATGAAAGAAATAAACTAAAACAGAATAAAACAAATAAAACAACAAAGCAATAAGAATATGAAAATGAAAGATGAAGTAGTAAAATAAAAGAAAGAAGGTAATTAAAGAAGAAAATCGAACAATAATAATGATAATGATAAAGAAAAAAACGCTTCGATAAGGCAACAGGAGCGACACTTCTTTCCTTACAGTTGTTATTGGTTATATTGTTGATTTTATCAACATTATTATTCTTTATGCTTATCATTAAAATAGTAATGATAATGATAATGAAAGTAGATATGATAATGAGGATGATATCAGTATCATCATTATGATTAACATTATTAATTATTTTTATTATTTCTATTATTATTATTATTATTATTATTATTATTATTATTATTATTATTATCCTTATCATTATTGGCACTATTATTGTTATCAATGTTGCAGTTATTAGCGTCGGTTAGTTTCTTTGTCCATTGGTTTCCTTGTCGGTTAACAGGATAACTCAAAAAGTTATGGATAGATTTTCATTGATTGATTGATTTTATTTATTGATTTATTACCAGAGGTTTGTCTCGGCCAAATTTAGATGCCATTAGATGCTGACGGCGACCCGGATCATGATTCGGATCAAGTATTTTTTTCTTTCTTTCTTTCTTTCTTTCTTTCTTTTTTTTTTGATGATTGCACTAATTACCCCTTTTGCCTTGACAAAAGGAGTAACTAGTATTATTATTGTCAGTGCCTTAATTATCTGCCTTGGTGGAGGTACGCTCTCTGAGTGCTAGTTATTATTATTATTGTTGTTTTGTTGTTGTTGCTATTGCTGTTGTCATCATTATTATTATAAGTATCATTATTATTATTACCATTATTTAAATGATAACCATAATCACAATTAAAATTAGTACTATTATTATGTTTATCATTATTATTATCATCATCATTATTATTCCTATTATTGCCCTTGATATTACCCATGTTATCATTACCAATATTTGTCATCATCATTATGATGATGATGTGGAGGAGGACTGTTGTTGTTGATGTTACTTTCGGTTCTGCTTATATTTATAATAACAGATCCTGGTTCAGTTTCCTCTTCCTCTTTTCTTTTTCTCCACTCTCTCTTCTTTGTTTGTCTTCTTCCTCCTTCCCTAATTCTTTTTCTCTCTTCTATTTTTTCCTCTTTCTCATCTCAGTCTCTTGCTTCATCATTTCTCTGTCCTCTTCTTTCTATCTTCTTCTCTTCCTCCTTTTCTTCTCTCCCATCTTCCCTCTCTTTCTCTCTCCTCTTTCTTCCCTTTATCCCTTTCTTCCCTCTTCCTCATATCCTCTTTCTCTCATCTTCCTTTCCCCTAGTCTCTCCTCTTCCGTTTTCATAGTTCTTCCTCCACCCCCTCTCTGTTCTTTCTCTCTCTCTCTCCTCCTTCTTTATCTCCTCTCCCTCTTTTTTTCTTTCTTTCTGTTACCCTCCTTTCTTTTTCCTCATCTTCCATTTTCTCTTCCTTCATTCCTCTCTTATCCCTCTTTTCCTTGCACACTCTTCTTTTCCAATTCCCCCCCTCCTCTTACTCCTTTCCTCTCTCTCGTATTTTATTCATTTCCACTGTCATAGTTTCTCTTTTCCGCTCTCTGTAATAATGATAGTAATGATGATGATAATAATAATAGTAACAGTAATAATAACAATGATAATAATAATAAAATAATAAGTATAATAATGGAATGATGATAACAAGAAAAAAATAGAAAACAGAAACATAAGGAAGAATAAAATATAGAAAATAAAAGATAAACTAAAACAGATTACACAAATAAAAAAACAAAACAATAAAAATATGAAAATAAATGAAGTAGCAAAAGAAGAAAGATGATGATAAAAGAAAATCGAACAATAATAATGATAATGGTAAAAACGCTTCGGTAAGGCAACAGGAGCGACACCTTTTCTTACAATTATTGGTTATATTGTTTTTATCAATATTATTATTCCTTATCATTAAAATAGTAATGATAATAATAGTGAAAAACTCATAATAACGATAACAATATTATCAATATAATTATCATTATTATTAATGATTTTAATATTTCAATTGTTATAATTATTCTTATTGTTATTATCATATCATTGTTATCACTATTATTATTATCATTGTTGCAATTATCAGCGTCGGTTAGTTTCTTTGTCTGTTGGTTTGTTTGTCGGTTAACAGGATAACTCAAAAAGTTATGGAGAGATTTTTATTGATTAATTGATTTTATTGATTGATTTATTACCAGAGATTTGTCTTGGCCAAATTTATATGCCATTCTTATCCTCCCAGTGCCCCTCTCCTATTCCTATTTTTCCTTGCATCTTCGCCCTCTTCTCCCTTTCTTTTCTTCTTTACTTCCTACTCCTCACTACCTCTCCTCCTCATTCTCTTTCTTACCTCTTCCTTTTTCTCTTTCTCTCCGCTATCTCCTTTCCTTTCTTTTTCATTTTCTCCCTCTCAACTCAACCTTTCTCACTCTTTTTCCTCTTCCTTCTTTCCTCTCTTTCTGTTCTTTTTTTTTCTCTCTCTCTCTCCTTTTCCTTTTCCACTATTACCTACTTGCATTATTTTTATCAGATAATTTTATGAATAGTTTTTTTTATAAAGATTTTAATTATTCTTAATATTATCTATATTATTGCTTTTATAATTCTTGTTGCTCTTGTTATTGTTACAATTACTATTATTTACAAATACTAGTTCAGTTGAAATAAAAAGATCATAATGATAGCTATTTTCCTCCTCTTCCCTTGCTCTCTCTCTCTCTCTCTCCACCTTTTCTTACTTCTTTATTTCTTACTCGCTTCTTTACTCTATTCTTTATCTTCCTCTTCCCTGTCTCTTGATTTTTTCTTTCTTTATCCTCTTTCTTTTACTCATTCTGTCTTTCTCTTTTCTTTTTTCTAATCCTCTCTTTCTCTTATTCGTCTCTGCTTCCCAACTCTCCATTATTCCTCTGTCTCTCCTTTCCCGGATTTCTCGTGTCTCTCATTTCCTTCCTTCCACTCTCTATTCTCTTCTTTCCTCTACCTCACTTCTTCCTCCCTTCTCTCCTGTACTTTTCTCTTTCACCTTCCCCCACTTTCTCCCCCCCCCCCCCTACTATCTCCGGTTTAACTCTCTCTTCTTTCTTTACTTTTCTTATTCACTTCCTCCCATCTCTCTCTTCTTCCGAATCTCTCACTCCCCCCCCCCCCACTTCTCTTCCATTTCTTTTTCTATTTTTATCTTTCTCTATTCCCTGCTCTCATTTTCCTTCCTCACATCTTTTCTCTATCATTTTTCTCCTTATCACTTCTCTTTTTTTCTCTCTTTTCCTTCATTCATCTCTCTATTCCTTTTCTGACATTCTCTTCTTTTTTCTTTCTTCCTCCCTTTTTCCCCCCATCACTCTTTTCTCTACCTCCTATTCATTTTCTTTCCCCTTCTCTTTTTCCATTCTTCTTTCTCTTTCATACTCCCTTTTTCTCCCATTTCTTTTTCCCTCTTCTCTCCTACTTTCTTTTCTTCCTCTTTATTCCCTTTCCCTCATTCTTCTCCGTGTCTCATCCCCTCTTTGTTCCTCGTTTCTCTCTTTCCTCTGTCTACATTCCCTCCCTCTCACTGTTATTCTCTCTTTATCCCTTCTTTCCTTTTCCATTCTTTGTCTTAATCCTTTTACTGTTTCTGTCTTTCTCTTTTCTTCTTTCTAATCCTCTCTTTCTCTCATTCTTTTCTGTTTTCTCAACTCTC